TATCTAAATTCGATCATATGGTTTTGATGGCAAGTTTGGCAGTGGGACGTTCTTGCCATGTGTGTTCTGATTCATTCGCTGAATCTCGGGGTTTATTAGTCGAGCTGGTCAAGACGTTTCCAGTGTTTAATAATTAGTTTTGGGTGGAAGGATTTGGCTTTCATAAGGGGACTTGGTTGCATGTCGAGGTTAAAATGGCTTTGAGACAGTTTGTGTTGACAGTTGTGCTCAGTTTACAAAGTGTGATGAACCACCTGTGTTCTAGCAATATTTTATGCTCTTTCTGTGCCCATAAGTATTATAGTTGTCATTTAAAATAGCTTTTATTCCAGTTGCCTCTTAAATTAAAAACAATGTACATTGTTTTAATCCAACAAAGAATATGTCATTCGAAAAGATTTGTGAGAATAAATATGTAATGCAGCATTACCAAAATTTGTGATTTGCCCATGTGTATTTATGTACAGTATCAAATAGCATAAATTTGCATCTCATCATGTTGCAAATGACACAGTCAATAATTTGAAGCACTAGTTAAGCTCTAAACTATTAAAAACATGTACCAGCCGTGCAATGCGTGTGTGGATTCAAGGAAGGACTCTACATCAATGTGTATATCAAAAGGCTGGTGAGTAAGGTCTAATGTGCAATAGACATTTGTGGGAAGGAATGTTGTCTATGCGTGCCTCAGGGCCAGCAGGGGCGTGTGTGATTGGTCGAAGGTGGAAGACATTTGCATTTGGATTGTCAACATCCATTGTGACACGAGTTATATCAACAGCATAATATGGACGTAACTGTGTGCACATTCTGTTGACTCATTTGAATCCAGTTTCTCTATCCGTTTATTTCCACATTGTTCTTACGGAAACATGTTCATGACTCTATTGGTATCCAACAACAAGTTTATCAGACCCCAAAAATAAGACAAGTGCAATCATGGCTTCAACAATGTTGTTATGTTTGTAGGTTAAGGTCTCTTCCGGGGAGCTGTGCACAAGATATCCCAGTGCAGAGTGTCGGCTGACATTCCTTGAAGATCAGTTGCCCCCATCCTCGTTTATGCATGTCAGCCCCCCAATGCAAATGCATCACATAACTCTGGCAGTGGCAGAGACACTGGATAAGGCTGTGGGACCCTGTGAGCGCCCTCTACCTAATCGTCCCATTCCGAATGCACTCGATTTGAAAATCATTTAGGACTTTGAGGGTGATTTAGCAATAACCTTTCAGGAATGTATGAGACTAATTATTGCACCCGCTCGCTCAGGGAGTATGAACATGGCACGTGAGAAAAAACGAGGAATCTGACTACCTCTGACCACTCATCTAGTGTCAACGGGCACGGGTTTAATTGGGTGTGGGTCAGAGCGGCTAATGGTTTATGTTTTGGTGTATCAGGTGGACTTCTTCATTTAGCCAAGGAAGGGCTCCAAATTGGCGCACTGCACTGAGCATTGTTGTGGAAGTGTGTGCCCACCCTCCGGTACCCCCCCGAGGTAAAAACGGCTGAGCCGTCACCTTGATCAAAGCAGTTGAGAGGCAACAGCGGAATTTTTAATACCTAGCATCGTTATTAGAAAAGCAGACAGTGACAGCCGAAAGGACAAATTAGAGTCAGTAATTCAACAGATTAACTAGATTCATTCACACCAGAAATTTTTGTTTCCAAAATTCATGCCAATCCATCCAATTGTAATCGAAATATTCAGGTCCGGAACAAAGTAGTGGACCGATGGCTAACGTGTCATTATAGATCAAACCTATTCAGTGAAGTTTGATAGATAACGCGCCTGAAGCCATGTGAATCTTCTATGAAACATCTGCTACAGATCATCATTGAGGGATGAATGGTTTCATGAAAAAACTCCTGCCAAAAATGATAATTGGCTCCCCCGACACAGCATTATTCCTCATCCCCGACTGCCGTTTATGACAATCACAACATTTTGTAGCCCAAACATCCTGCCTGAATCCGGCCTGTGACCAAATCACATGTCAACAGACTGCTGTTGACGTGTGATTTGGATTCTCACTAATGTTATAATATTCCTGTGTCTGCTATTCTCATCCACTATACTTCGTAGGTCTATACAACAGGTGGAGGTCCTGCTGTTACTGTTGCACGCTTTGAAATGGGTGTCTTTGTACATTTAAACTTAGTTATCACAATTGCATATCTTGGCTAAGCAACTATTCAGGGAAACGATTCAGGGGTCAATACGGTCCGTTCCTAATAGAAGGATGAACTTTAATAGTCCCTTTATATGCAAAACTATTCACTTTAACTGGTAATCTCTTCTATCTTCATGTCTGGATCTTGACTGGATCAACTGACTGTTTCTTTCCTTTTTTTCTTCTCTCGGATATTCAATACTGACAACTTCTCCACCGGCTGCAGAGAGACGCTGGGAGAAAGTTTCCATGTGGCCCCAGCACCCACTCTTGGCGGGACAATTCTGCTGTAGACCAAACTGTTTCCGTCTATCAACCTCTGCTGTTCGAACCCTCCCTCCTCCTCCCTTACTTTCTCCCTTTTTGTGATGTGACACAAACAGCCACTTTCCACTGCCCCAGACCTGAACCTTCCTTTCAGTTCACTCCCTCTCTCCCACACACACACCAGCGTGTGCTTTAAGCCACACTTAATTGGAAGAATAGTGTGGCCATTGATGGGTGTCTGATATTAAATTCATAATTGATTGCTGATGGAACCACTAACCAATACAACCAATTGGCAACTGGCATGGGCCACACCTTTAGCCCATCAGCCAGATCAGAAGGGGCATACATGGAGAGGGTTAAGAAGGGCTTGAAAAACAATTTACAACCTCACTAATCAGGTCTGCATTATTTTGGAAACCAGTGAAATTAGATTTAGATTTTTAGTTAACTATTATTTTTCCATCAAAGAGCCCAACCGTGGGCTTTAACAAACAGGCTTGAATCACAAATGGCACAGTTGGATCAACGTGTAAGACCGGAGTTTCGGCTGAAGGTTCCACTTTTTTATGTTGCTGGGCCCCTCCAGTCCACCGGGCCTGGGCTGCAACGGCTTGAGTCTTGCACTGAGTGCAACTGTCACGGTGTGGTTTATTTCCTGCCTTATTTTGTAGTTTCTGCTTCTTGTCTCCCTGGGTAACTTCACTTCCTGCCTTGTCCTGTCATCCCCTGTGATTGTCTGACCTGTGTCCAATCACCTGCACCTCCCTAGTGTATTTAAGCTGTGTGTGTCTCTTGTCACTTGTTGCGTCATTGTCTATTGTCCTGGATGTTCCAAGTTCCTGCCTGCCTTTTTGCCCGTTGGCCTTTTTGCTTTTGAACATTTGGACTATTAAGTCTTCTTTTGTTGCTTGAAGTCTGCGTGTGAGTCCTGCCTTCCCCGTACCCCCTGACAGCAGCTACTGATGCTGCACCCACAGCAGTTGCAAAGCCTATGGGAAAGAATAAAAAGGACATGAAATTCAAACATATCCCTAATTGATGTACCCATTTCTAAACAATCCATGTATAATGTAGGAATAAAAGTGTGTTTTGTCTTTTGCAAAGGCATTTACTAATGTATGGATGTTTTAAATCATGTCTATTATTGATTTATTTATTGATTGATAGTCGATTAACCAACTAGATATAATAAATACGCCGTGGGCCCCTTTGGAACCGTAGGGTTTCCCAACTTTGTTTACTTATTTAATAAAGAAAAAAATTAGGTGTTGAGTGTCGATGAAATGAAAAATTAAATAAGTGACTCTACTTAAATAAGAAGAGTCAAACAATATGACTTTGTTTTGCGACTGGAACAGTTGCCCTTTATTGTCCATTAAAAATTCATTTGAATGCACAGCTTCATCTTCCAGCCTCAATTTTTAAACTAAAATGTAACGTAATATTAAATTTGCATGGGCTGACATTTTTCCACACCTACTCAAGTGCATTATGCACTGTCAAAACTTTTTAGAGAAAGCGAAAGGATATTCCTGGCTTGTCCATGAAAGATGTACTACTCTTAAGTCATGCATACATGGCACTGTTACTGGAACAGCTTGATCATTATGGGTGGTACTATATAACAAATCATTTATTTGAAAGTTAATTGAATTCAATAAAACAAAAACAACAAAAACAAAACAATTTTTTTTTAAATTTATTGCATAAGGTGCAGTGTCAATTACACCATTAGCTTTTGAAAACCACCTCTGCCTCAACATCAGGGAGCTGATGGCAGTGAACATTTATTTTCTGGCACTGTGATAAATACCTGTTCCTGGTAACTGGTAAACATGACAACAACTGCATTATGATCAAACGACTGCCCTCCAGCACCGTCCAAGCACACTTACACACACACTCAATGGCATCTTAACTGATGGAAACTTCCCCTTCTGGTCTGTCAGTGTGGTCCATATCCTGCCAGGTCTGAACCAGCTGAGCCAGGGATTTATGTTCCACTCAGGGGGCCTTCACTAACTCCTTTCCTTTCCTATCACTGCATGCAAGTCATAGTGGCTGTGTGGTCAGATGGCGACGCAAAGGGAGTGAATGAGAGATGGGACTAGGTCTCCCTCTGCTGCTGCCTCATCATATGTGCCATAAGAAAAGGGCAAAAAGAAATGACATTCCCAAATAGGAGTCCGTTCTTAAAAAGAGTACAAACTCTGCTGTTATCCAATGAGGAGATTAAAGGAGATTATCTTTGATATTATTTGTATTTGCACATGTAAAAACATGTTCTTCGTGTATATCAAATAACTTTAATTGTGCGAAAAAATGCGACAACATGTGAACGAATTAATAGATTTTGGGAAACATTCAGCAAATTGACTTGTCAGCATTGACAGGTGTGTCTTTAATAACAAATCATCTTCTCCCATTATTGTAACTGTTTACTCTGTGTGGTATTAATACCCGCATGGCACTCTGAATTCGTAATACGAAGCCGCAGGCCATTCTGGCAGGCATCCGTTCTGCAGACTTGTGAAGTTTACTTCAAGGGCACGGTGCGCATCCATTGCGCATGCGCCGTGCGAGTGTCCCCGGAAGTACATCACTGCACGCGTGAACGTTGACAACCTTACAACTACAAAACAACTAACCTGACAGCTGCCCCGTAACACGCCTCCGCAGTGATGCCAGTAACACGCCTCCTGTAAGTGTTCCGTTTTTTTCTCCTTATTTCTCGGCGTGAAAAATGCAAAAGGACGTCCCTGATAAAGATAACTCGTTGCCAGTGCGCCTCCATGTCGGATTGGTAAACTAGCAGACCCAGCTAACCGAAGTTAAGCATGTCCCAGGCTTCCATCTGCCCGCCCGACTAAAAGGCAGCTTTCCCCCCACGTATTATACACATTGTTGGCGTGCTTATATCAGTTCTCCATGTACTCACTACCTCTGTTAAAATGACGTTAAGCAACTATAACGAACCCAGCATTAGCTAGCCGTGCCACAAAAATGCTACCGTAAAGCCGCAGGTCCTGTCGTAGCGCCGTTACGGTCACTGTGCGGGTTACCATGACATCCAGTTCGTTAAATCCTCTTTCAGTGTTTTTACTTAAAACTTATATTGGTATAGTGCTGCCATTGCAATTAATTCACTCGTATATAAGTTGATTTGATTCACAATACACATATTTAAATGTCTGGTTTGATAATATTGTATTACCTTTGTGTTTATGTCAACTTTTATGCCTCTGTATCAATGACTGTCTTCTATTGCAATATCTTTAACCCATGTGAAATGGGCTCGACGCAGGGTTGAAGCATATATTACTATTATTTCTATTTGTATAATAGAATTGTTCTCACCAAATTAATAATTTACTTGGAGGTTGGAGCAGTGCAGCTAGTCATGTATCGCCGGGCAAACAAACAAGCAGGTCACATGCAAACAGTCACATCTTATTAGGAGGGGAAAACAGTTGGCAATGCATATTTTAATGTTTCTAACTTCTGATTCTGGAAAACTGTGTGCAAGTGGGGAGCTAATGCATTTCTCCTCTGGCCATCATCTTTGTATTATGGTAAAAGTAACTCGAGGGGTATTGCGTTGACATTTTTCATTGTGGGAAAACATCAAGGGAAGACATTACATCTAGTTTTGTACCACTAACAAAAAGGTTAACATGCTGTTTTGGTGAAAAGGTTCTGCACACCTCCTGCCAGCACCTAACAGCACATTTTTGACCAGCGGCTGAACACATTGGAGCGTTTACCGCCCGAGTATTTCAGTATGACATCACATACATCACATCAAGGCACAGCAGATGGTTTGTATGATTAGAAAGGCCAACCACAAACAGTGATCACATCCTGCAGGTTTTCATTACGGAGCTCTCCTTTGACAAATCATTATTATACTTCTGCTTTTATCAACTTATGATAACAAAGAGCTAGCGAAGATTTTACCACACAAATCTAGATGTCTACTCCTCCAAGTTGTTAGTGGGATTGGATCAACTAGAGGATGTCTGACTGGGAATGATACTGGAGATGAAACAATTCTGCCCCTCCTCAGATACCCTCTCTACCAGTTGGGGAACCCTCAGCTGAGGATCTTCAGACCCAACTGGTTCCTGACTCTGGTGAGGCCCGGAAAAGAGCAGCCTCCGGACACGGTCCAGTTTCGCATCCCAATGGAGTAAGTCTTTTGTTGTAGATCTTTTCTCATATCGTTTGGAGACGCATTAGAGTAATACAATGATTCTGTTTTTAGTGATTTTGTGATTTCATTTGGCTTTAAATTTATTTCCGGCTACTACAGGCTTTTTCTTCTTCATAATTTAGGTTGCAGTGATTTGTTTTGAATGGTACTGTAGCTGTTTTGTTGGACCAGTGCTAAGTAACTGGAGTTCTCTGCGTCATGGCCACCAGGTGGCGGGACAGCCCCAAGAACAGAGATCGGAGGCCCTTAGCAGCTCTTACCACCTTGTCTTGGCTGAGGTGAGGTCAAACAAGCTTTCATCTGGTGCTACAGTGGAGACTTGAGTGTTGTAAATGGAAAGCCGTCAAACTTTACAAACCAAGGTAAATAGGCCAATATGTATCCTTAACCATAAAATGAAGAGCAAAATGTTCCCGATGGTTTCCAAAGCTTGTGTTATAGGAGTTACTAAATCACACTTTATTGCCTCCTCATTTTGAGCGCACTTGTTTCTTCTAAATGAGTGTGTGTGTGTGATCTCTTATGATCACTTTATTAGGTACACAGTGTCTCCCCCAGGTTTACAACTTCAGGAGGGGGCGGTAGTCACTCCGCTGGTGTTCTCCATCCGCTGGCGCGAGCGCCACGTTCGCCACGTTCGCACATACATAGACTTATATGCGAACGCGTCTGTGCGGAACTGCCGTCCGAAAGAAAAAAACAAATAAAAAAAAGAAGGGAAAAAACTAATTAAATTTAATTAATAAAAGTAGTAGTAGTTTTTAGGGGGGGGTGTTATAGGGGAAGGAGAAACACTGGGTACACCTGTTGAACAGCGTGTCAATGCTGTTAACGCAGATATCTAATCCGCTAATCACATGGCAGGAACAATGCATTTAGGTGTGGCCAGGACTATCTGCTCCAGTTCAAGCCAAGCATCAGAATGGGGCAAGAAAGATGTCTGCTCGGTATAGTTGGTTTGTGCCTGACGTGCCGGTTTGAGTATTTCAAAAGCAGCCAATCACCTGGGATTTTCAAGCACAACAGCCTCAAATGTTTACAAAGAATAGTCCAACATTTTCTTTAAAAAAGGTGTATGCAGTGAGCGGTTCTTCTCTGGGCAAAAACACCACGTTTACGGCAAATGTCAGAGGAGCATAGCCAGACTAGTTGGAGCATATAGAAAGGCAAGTAACTCAAACAACCACTTGTTAACATGAGGAAAACTTGGCGCTCCTAAGTTGGGCAATAAAAGATTGGAAAAACATTGGATGGCGGGGTCCGAAAATGTCGTAAACAACATGAAAGCATGGAACCATCATGGGGGTATAATGCTGAAGGGGATTTTTTTAAAATTTATTATCAATTGAGCATCGTTTAGATGCGATAGCCCACCTTGGTATTGAAGCCCATACTTTTATGATCAAGGTGACACATCTTGGTCTACTTCCAGCTGGAAGACTCCTTGTGTCTCAGAGCTTAAAGCTTTAAACAAACCTTTTCATTTTAGTATTATCCTAGTCAGAGAAAACCATGACAATATAAGTATAGCTTTAGTCAAGGAAAGTTGTTGACATTTTAATTCTTCTCTTTTTAGTCATCTTGATTATTTTGAACTTTTCAGTAAATCTAGGCCAGACCAAAGAACCTCCATGTTCCTTTTCTCCCAAGGCCTGTTGTTTTAAGTAGGTAACTCATGACTGCTCACTGTGGAGGCTTGATTTTGAACGTGCTGCACAGGATACTCACATACACATTTTAGGTGTCTTTTTTTGGTTGACTTAATCAACAGGGAATATTGATAACAGGAAGTGTGTCACGTCTAAGCAGCCTGGTCGTGATCTGCTCTTTGTTAATAACAAACATATTTAATCATAGTTTTTTTGTCAACAAGAAGAGCCGGTCACAAATCCGCACTAAGCAGTAACGGTCCGACTTGGACTACCTCTGCCAACCAAGGTCCCAGAGGTTAGCGCTGCTCCTCGGGTGACGAGAGCGCCAGAGCGCACACTGGGATGAGAAATTGAAGTTTGAAGGAGATCATCTATGTGTCTCTGGTGGGGTTTAGACCATAATCTGTTCATCCAGGTGCCTGGCCTCCCACTCTGATTCTTGCCTCCTCTCTGCCAAACTCCTAGGGTGCTCATGTAATTGTGTGTGTGTCAGTGTGTTTTTGTGTGTGTGTGTGTGTGTGTGTGTGTGTGTGTGTGCGTACGCACAAAAGTGGGTAAGTGCAGGGTGCGTGTGTTTATAAGGGTGTGTAAGGGTTTTTTTCCTCGCCGTCTTTGATGCCTGGGAGAGGTACATGGCTGATTGATATGCTGCTGGGGCCTTGACGTGTGCTTGAAACACTGTTATTTTTGTTACTTTTCACACACACACACACACACACACACACACACACACACAACGAACTAAATGGACACCGACGGAGAGACAGCGACACAAACCAAACAGCCCTCCCACTCCCAGCTTATTGATGAGTCTGAGTCACAACGGCAGCGAAAGCTGTTCTGGTTATGACTCAGGCGGTGTTGGCGTGGAAAAGTTGGACTGCCGAGGAGCTGTTAAATGAGAGGTGGCAATGTCGCCGTTCTCAAGAGAACAACACATGGTGGCCTTTTCTCTCGTTGGCCCCTGGGAGCCAGATCTAAATGGCCGCGGGTCTCTCTCTCGCTTTAGCGTTGACCTGCTTGTTAGCGATATGGCTCGCTTGATCTTCTGTGCATGTCTCTCGCCGTCCCACCCCGGGCTTCGCTGTTTATTGTGCTTTTCTTAAACACTTTGCAACGCATCCAAGGCCAATCCCTCTTTGGCACGGCGCTTGAGACACCTGGACTGTGTTCTCTTATACTCCTCTTTCTACCTGCTGGAAGGGCATATTTGTTTGTCTTTTTTTTTTATTGTTCTTGAACCTTTTGTGCGATATTGGTATTTCCTCTCCGCTCTTCAAGGAACATCATCAAGTTTCTGGGTTTACACCCACTCACACACCCACACACCTTGTGCTGACACACACACACACGCACACACAAAGAAAAGAACCCGCTGAACACTGTGTTCGGTCTACTACTGAGTCCTGTTTCCTACTGCTATGCTGTAATGACCGTGAAACCAGATGCTGCGTTTTCTCACTGTACTCAAACATGATCAGAAACGAGCCCGCGACACATTGTCACGACGTTGTGACAACAGCGTCACAATGTCCCTCCACTCAAATGTTGAGAGTTTGATCCAACGGGTCATAGGAAGTCAGTTAGCGAGACAGTGGAGGAGTGTAACCACCTGTCGAGTCTTCAGCGACCCGCCTCTCTGAAGGAGGCGAAGTGACTCCTGGTGAACTGTTTTTTGATCTATTTCTTTTCCATTGTCAGATCTAGTCCTTCACACGCTGCTCTCATGCTGCTCTCTCTACCTAAGTCTCAGGTTCCTTAATGGTTTTCCCTCTAAACAAAGTGTGCTATTATGATCTTGATACTTCGTATTGAGCCACTTCTGTGCACGTATTGTCTCGGGTAAAAGTAGTGAGTGTGCGTATCTCGACCCAAACCGGACAATGGGGCAGGCGGACAATAAGAAGCGGCTTTCTCTTGCCTTTCATCTGAAAACAACTCTCCTGTTTCATTCTCACCACTAAGCCACTCTGACACAATCTACTTTGATGTTGTGTGTGTGGACCGGTTGGTAAACCTTAGATGTTTTCTGCTCTGTGTGTTGATAAAGGTTTCCCATGAAATGAAGTCCGAGAGGCTTATTAGAACACACAGCGTTAACATATCAGAGGGATTCTCAGCTGTTTGTTACTCAGGAATGCTCCTGCTCTCTTAAGACCGCTTTGCAGTTGTTTGGTTGCCTATGTGCGCCGGTTCCTACTAACTAATGCATCTCTCCTTTTTTGCGTTGTATGTGAGCGTATTTTTCACTTAAACCATTACATAATTTGCTGTATTAGCTGTCAGCACATTCTAGTCTGTATCAAGCCGGATGGCGGTTTGGCAGTCACCATTTAAAAAAAAAAACCAAGTAATAATAATTCTTGGGCAACGTAAGGCAAATTATATACAGAAGAAAAAGGCCCCACAGTTGATGACGTGTCGGATCGGGCTCCTCCAAACGTCGGGGCCCTGTAGCTTGCAGCACTGCATCACCCCTGTGTGGCTGCATCCTCTTCTTTTCCGTTCCCTTGTGATACCCAACGTTGATCTGCCGACCATGAAAAGCCGAAAATGTAGACACGGCCCAGTTTCTATCAAACAAGGACCACATTAAAAGCTTTTTAGTGGTTTGCCAAGGTTGCAATAACAAGCAACCTTTCCAAGGAGATTCATGGAAGCCCCAAGAAGCACGATGGTCACTGACTCATCCCTTCACAAAGTAATGTGCAACTTGAAACAACGAGGACATGTCAACAGCATTCTTTAGATCAAATGATGTTATAGCGTTGGCTAATTTACAGGGACTGTGGCACGGCATTCAGTTTATACAGCGGAGCGCACGCATCATCTTTGAAGCGTGATTCACCACGAGGACCAAGATGAAACTTATGTGAAAAACTATGTGCATCCGCTACATAACGTTTTACTCAGTTAGCCACTTTCCCACCCCTAAGCCAACTGGTTGTTGTTAAACCCGGCGTGTCCTTCCATACTAAATCATATGACGTTGTGGGTCATATATTGAGTACAGCAATAACGATAACTGATGAAATAACTTTTTTGATGAGTATTTTGCAGATACGTTTCCTTAAAACATACCAATTGACTGACTTTTCTTCTTTTGGGGATTTTATCAACATGTTTAGGTCATAAACATTCACTTATCTGTTTTGTACCTTTTTAAAGTTTAGTCTCATGCACTTAAGTAGTAACAATGGTGAAATACAATGTTGATTCTTTGCTAAACTAATTTCCAATACTTTTTTTCAAAACAGACATTTTATGTATTTGCTGTCCATTGTAGTGCTGAGTCTAACACTACATGTACATTAGCTATACATACGTATATTCTAGATCTTTTCATCCAGATAAGCTTAATTTGAATCTCTTTCTATAACCGAGGCTTTTTTCATCCCTCTTTTATTTAATAGGTTTCCTTTTGAGACATCGAGCGAGAGAGCAAAGACGAGCCACAGAGGTACTCCCATCCCTGTCTTCAACCACAAGGACGTTACAAGCTCTCATTTCCTTTACCGTCGTTCATAAAGAGATTTCAGCCTTTACAAATATCTGTAGTGTTTCAGTCGATATTGTGTATTACATGTGAGTGGGTGGCTGTAAAGGGCGTCCTTTATGCACAAGAAAGACGCCGTCCATTCACTTGGCAGATGTTCTTTTAGCACCAGCGTATTAAAAGACAAGTGGCAGGCGGTAGTCTCTGAGCTTTCAGAATGGATTCACTATCCTTATTGTCAAACACAGAGAAAGCTGCCTCTGTCCTGTCTTGCACTTTTTCAGCCGTGCTCTTTCACCTACTTCTCCGATGTGCACAGGTGTAAATGGGCCTTAAACTGCTGGAACTGATACCCCAAATCCCCCCGGCTCAGCATGACATTGACAACAGGGAATCCAGGGACACAGAGATTCGTTTCAGAGGAAGGATTTCCTTTTGAGAGCAGCGGAGGTGTGCGGGTTAATCTGCAGATTCACAAATCTGCCATGTTGTCACTCACAAACAACGATGCAACAGCAGGGGGGGGCAAACAAATGCATCGGGTTTTCCCCTGCGCCCGCATCCCTCCGAAGACCACCTTCTTTGAGAATGCCAGATATCAGATTTAGGTCTTGCATAGCTCCTTGACACCTTTGCGGCACAATCACTTTTTGAGTTGTTTTCTAACAATGATGCCAGTGTTCCTGTTTCGTACCGGCTCGGAAACCACGCACCATAATGGAACCTGAAGCCCCGCCTGCGTCATCAGAAGCCCTTCTAGGTTTTTGCTTCTGGAGTTCTTTCATCATCTTGGCCGAGGAATCTTTGTGGCGTGTGTGTTTGTGTATAAATATACAACAGTTGCCGAGGAACGATGTCTTTTTAGCCCTGGCAGTTGCCAGAGGCAGGTTTCATTTCTCCTGTGAGGCAGAGGTGTGAAAGGTTAGCTTGTGGAGAAAGATGGATGTTTATACTGGGATGATGATCCAACGCTGCCTGAATCACCATCAGACACACCACGCCCTTTTGTCCAAGTTTAGCCTTGTTTATGTATCCAATTAACATGACATTTTCTCCTCAACTTTCACCCCATGCTTCATCTCACTGTATTCTAGTTTTAGCTGAACTGTGAGTTGTGTATTGACTCACCTCAGAGACAAACGTCCATCGAAAGCAGCCCCTCGGAATCTAGTTGTGAGTGTGTGCCATATTTATAGTGTTCATACACTGCAGATATGTGTCACAGTATGGCCAAAAATTCCCATCACAGTATTTTGTAAGATTCTGACCATATCACGGTATTTATTTTTGCAGTTGTTCAGGTGACGGGCGCTGTGTAAAAAATAAATTCTGCCGCTTGCCGAGGAGAAACTTTAGCTGTTACGGCTACACACCGGTATGACCGTACATGGGAGAGCTCCTATTGTAAGGGAATCTTATACCGGTTGAATCGGTGTACCGCTCAGCCCTAACTCGACACACTGGGTCTCTCTTTTTGGGCCGACCACACCGCCTGTAAATCCCAGGAACGGATATGCCTCGTTCTAGTTTCTTTTTCGTGCTGCTGTGTGTGCTGGTCAAATACATCGGATTTAGGCTTCACACATCTCTCTCCCTATTCATCTACTACTCTACTACTCTCTCTCTCTGTATGATATGGTGCCCTTTTTTGTTTTTTTTCAATTGTTTGTTATCATTTCATATCATAGTGTCCGGTGTGTGTGAGTGAGTTGGTGATTAAGTTGCCCCCCCTCGTGTATTTGCATGAACACCAGCCCATTAAGCGTGCGTGCACAGGCGTCTTGTGCAGAGTAACATGACCGTGCTTGTGCATATTTCATACGTCTCTGTGGTTGTGGTGACTGGATAATTTCAGCGTTGAAAGCCCTAGGATTTAGATTCTCCCCATTAATCAGGATCGGTGTTCACTCTGCTAATGATCCAGACGAGACTTTGCCGTCCGCGAACCACTTCCCTTTCCTCCAGTTACCCGCCCGAGCTTTCTAGGAAAACCTGTCCAAAGCGCTATCACTCTCTCTCTCTCTCTTCTCTCAAGTGGCCCCCGTCAGGCTGCTCTGCTTCACTGCCTTCCAGCACACACACACACACTGTGAGATGGGATGGGGGGGTGCGGGGGGCTTTGTGCTGAGGCGGGTGCAAATGGAGCAGAAAGGCGCATCTGCATGCGACATATAAAACCCATTTCTCTGTTCTCGACAGGGTAACGGGAGAGTTTTTCTTTCTCAAACTGGACCTTAACACGTTTGTGTACAGCTTTCATCTATATAATCATGCAACCTCCCCCCCGCCCCTCCGTAGCCCTAGACCACCACTGTGTCTGACATCGCCAACGTTTGGCGTATTATGGAGGACGTGTAGAATTGTTTATACTGCATAGAAACATATATTGCATCATCCTCGGGCACAAGGAGGTTTTCGTGTTCACAGATGTGATTTTCTCATGCAAATGTTTGCTTCAGCTAATAATGTTACAGCAGCTCTAGGTATTGTGCTATTTCCTCGGAGCAAAAATAGAAAGAATTACATTATCCTGTAAACAAATGAGGTGATAGAAGACGGCATATCCAAGGCACTCCTGTCAAACCACTGCGTCGTTATTAAGCACTTTATCGGACGCATTTGGGAAGTGCTCTCTACCAGGCTAACCCAATTGGTTGGATTGATTCGCAGTTAAAAGCCTTTCTTCCTCTGTTCGAAGCATCCATTCCAAATGCCGCCCAGCGGGTGAACTTTAGCTGGGCTGGCCCACTGGATCAGTTGGTGCCAGGTCCACTTCCTGTGTAGGGTTTCACTGATGCAATCAATACCTGCAGACAGCAAATTGGATGAACACGGACACTCACATTTCTCTTCTCTCTGCGTAATGGTCCAGAGGAATAAAAGCTGAATATAGGTTTGTACAGTAGGGGAGTGTCCTGTCCGTTACACTAGGTAAGATAACAGCCGGGTTTATGGGAACGTAGTGTGCAAATAGACTATCAATCTTATGTAGGTGTCAATTACGTGAACGTGGTATTAATTGATGGACAGTGATCCAGCATGCAACCTCACTCAAAGCATGTACTCTCACTCAAACCGCCAGCCGTGCGAACACAGATGCCGGATGGCTCGTTTAACCGCTTCTCTCCTTCTCCCCCCTTGGACAGAATGACCAAGTATGACGTAAAGAACTACCTGGAGAAGATCTACGACGTCCCCGTAGGAGCGATCCGCACCAGAATCCAGTTTGGTGAGTATATTGTATTTATATATGTACTTTTGTGTTTCGTCTAACCGTGAAGCCCAGTCTAAAATAAAAGGTGTCTTTGCAGTATATGAGAGTTGTCTGTCAGAGGTTATAAATATCTGTGCTTCATTTTGGTGGGTAGTCAACGGTGAAAACTTTTCCCGATAGAAAAGAAAAGCATCAATTCAAATATCTGAAACTAATCCAGCAGCATAATCCCTCTATCACTGTCCATCCACATGCTAAGTGATACTTACTGTCTAACAAAAGCATTGCTGGATACAATGGTCATCGCCTGGGTCTTCCCATTGACGTGCAGCAGCGGGAGGGTTTTCCAGGGGCCACTCGCCGTAGTTGTTGGCGTGCCTGGTTCTCCTTTCCCCCCCTAATGCACACAGCTGCTTATCTGACAACCTGATCAGTAGCATTCCAGCCTCCAGCTGTCCCAGGACACTACAGCTCGCTCCACACAAGCATCACGTTATTCACTCCAAGTGCTGCATCCCCCCTCCACGCCCCCCCCACACCCCAAAGACCTATGACCCCTTGTCAAGGATGATCACAGAGCCACCAGTGTTATATCATTGACTTACTATGCCTCTTCAGTTAGCAATGACTGATGTTGAGGTCCTTCTTAGTCCAAGATGTTGCGAGTTGAAGAAGTAGTAGGGGACATATAGGTATAATTAATTTTGGAGAGGCGTTGATGGATGTGCAGAGAAGTGTACAAGCTCCTTCTGTGCTGCGCCTGAAGGGCCATGAGGAGCCCCCTCTACCTCTGGAGGAGATAGGGGGAAGGAAAGGGAGGGAGGGAGGGAGGGAAGAGAGAGGCACCTAGCTTAGCCTAGCACACAGTTTGGAGGACCCATAAAGGCTGTTTATTACGGTTGTATCATTAAAAGCCAGGAGAAAGGGAAAGCCCCTTCAGTGGCTGTGTGGAAGGAAACCAGTGAACTGTGGGGGGACAGAGAGGCTCAGGGGCCCCCGCGGTTCTACAGGTGCGTCAGTGAAGGTATCCCTGCCTGCGTCAGGAGTTCCACTCCATTGGCAGCATAAAAACGGCAGCATGCAAAGGAGAGAGCAAAACGACCCTTCTCTCCATGGGCGGCGGGGGTATTTTGGAAGGAGTTTCCATGGTTACCCCTTCGGCCTGGGATTTGTAATGTGATAGCAGGCTGCCAAACCGCAATCTCAAAGTGGGAGAAATTGTGCTTGCGTTTGCAAGTGTAGCATGAAAGCTCTGTCTGTGTGTCTGTGTGTGTTAGGTGTGGTGGAAATTTGTGGGCCCATCATGTGAGTTTGGAGAAGACTTCTTGGTGTGTGTGTGTGTGTGTGTGTGTGTGTGTGTGACTGTGTTGTGTGCATATCTAGAGGCAGTTCAGGGTCTTACCTTGATTTTTCAAAGGTTGTAACAGTTGCCTGTGGATTTCCTCAGATATCAGGAACACACACACTCACATACTCTTCATTACCTTTGTCTCCCACCCACACATGGGCCTCCTGTTAGCCAGGGGAGTGTGAAGGGGGGCCGTTTTACAACCCTGCTTAGGGCTTTCCCTAAGCATTGGGCTGCCTGGCTAGTGATTACTAGCTGCATATACAGCACACAGACACACAACACACACAAATGACTCATTACAGAGGTATGTTTCCCTTGTTTTTCATATCATAAACTGTTCCTATGGTTACACAGCGGGCCTGTTGACTTGAACACCTGGGTCTCAAACGCAGAGATGATACGTTTGATGCCGTGTTGAGTGACCATCGCTGTAACGTGCTTTCTTAAGTTTAGTAAAATTAGCTTTAGATTTATTTAAAGACAGACTCCCAGCCCGCCTACACTCATGCACACACGGCAGCTCCTTGAGTCCCCGTCTTCCAGACATGGAGCGGTCTGACAGGAGAGAAGGTGATGTCATCATGATCTCCAGCTGGGGAAGAGGTTAACCTGCAGTCAACAAGATCAAGCTCTGCTTAATCTCATGCATGCACGCACGCGTGCACGCACACACAAAACATTCTCTGTTCTACAGGGAAATCAACACAAGTGAATCTTGAAGTGTCTGTTTTTCCCTACTCAGATGAAACATGATGTGATAATTGCACAGATAGAGATTATAGTCAGGATAGTGTGTTTAATAATATTGGAAAACAATGACAAAACTATTATCTGGTGACCTAGATGACATCATCAAACATTTTCATTCAACCAAAAGTTAAAACTCCATAACTCAAAATGTATTCTAAGGCCATTAATAGTAGCAAAGCTACATGTTCACACTGCTGCTGAACCATCATGGGTGCATTTCTGCTTGAAAAATCACATTGTTTTAAAGCATCTAATCAACTGATTGCAGCTCTGATAGTGATAATCATGACAACAGTTTAAAGGTGTAAGAAACATGAATGAATGAATGAACCTTTGGAATCAGCGTTCTCCACAGCATCAGGTAGCTTTCCATATATGGAAAAGCAACCTCAGTAACAGAAGCAGTTTAGAAAGCATCATCACTTTGTCCCACTCTCTGCTGCCTCACAACCGCGATTTACTCATGTTTAGTCATTCCTGTTTACCAACAAGTGTGACGCCTGCTGTTCTGTGCTTCTCAGGCTCCAACAAGAAGAGGAATCATCTCCACCAGAAGGTTAAGCAGCCGGACTATAAAGTAGCCTACGTTCAGCTGGTGAGCAGACACACACACCCGTACCATCATCCTCCTACTTCCACGCTGTTGTGGTTGGCGTAGTGTTCGCGTAGCGTCATCTCAGTGACTCGTGTTGAACAGCGGTAAGTGGAGACACCCCCCCCCCCCCCCCCATCCCACAGCGGGTATGAACGGACGTACAACAAAAGTGAAGTGAACATCATACTCAACTCATTTTTACTTTCTAACAAGTACTGTTCCTCCACATTCTCATCTGTCCCCTCTGTTTCAAGTGTGCTCTTATGGGAATCCTCTCATGCACCAGGATGAGTAGATGCACACAAATCACACAGCCCCACCAACCATCTCTCTCCTGTGTGCCTCACACACTCTGGCTGCCCCCTGAGTAAGCATCGGTCTGGCTTCTTGCAGGGCCTGAGGGGGAAAGGTCGTCTTTGGTTACATGCCAGACTTAATACAGGAAATATTGATATATGCTTATCATCTGGTGTAGCTCTCCTTTCTGCGCTTGTGTGCCATAGAAGGAATGTGAGCAATTATGTGCGCTTAGTGTGTGTTTGTCTGTGTGTGTGTGTGTGTGGTTGTGTGTCAGCCCGGACTCCCGCACGGCATCACAGCTGTTGCCTTCACACCTGTGTTTAAGGTGAGCTTGGTTGGGTCAGGAAGGCCCATTCTCCGCTCGGCTCGCCAACGTTTGAAGTCTGTTGGTCTTTGAAATCAAACAAAAAAAGGGCTGTTTCATTGGGCCTTTGTTTTGTGTCATTTTGATCTTGCCCAGACAAATCCACAGCGGTGCAGACGCTGGTTTACGCCGCGCCGCCCACCCAGCCGTCAATCTTGAAACGGATGAATAATGAAAATTGTCTAAACACGACATTTGAAAGAGGATACATAATTGAAGCGGCCATGAATCTTTAAACGTGGAGACTTGTTATTTTGTGTGCGGCTGGAATTTCTAACGGAGTCGGCAGAGATGCTTCCGTCTCAGCAGACGCACACCACGATGATAGGTGTGAGGATGCAGAACCGCGTACACCCCCACACACGCACACACACATCTGTGAAATGTGTGCATCATTCATGCATGCACTTCACCAGAGGACTTCTGTTTTTTGTAAAGTTTCATTCGCTCCGTAGTCGCAACCACACCGCAGTTTTCTGAGCGTCGCAGCTTTCTGAGGTCATACTCGTTTGAAGGAGAAACACTCTCTTTGTACTTAAAAAAGGCTCGATAAGAAGCTGAATACACTGAACTGAAATGCCTATTTCTCCGCAGGTCTTTGGAAAAAACATTCTCTCTCTCAACTCTTTCCTACCTCACTCTCTCTCGCTTGTGTTCGCACTCACACAAACTCTCTCTCGCTCTCTCTCTCACACACACACACACACACACACACACACACACACACACACACACACACACACACACACACACACACACAGGCCCAAAACCCTACTTTCTTTTGCAGCAGTGGGTAGAAAACAAGATTGTTCCTAATTGACTCCACATGTGGGAGAGTGTTTTGTGGGTCGATGCTCACACCGCGGTCCCCCGTTCTACCCTCGCCTCTCTCCCCTGCTCCCTCCATCGGCTAATATTGCAGCAGTAATGCGCTCTCTCTCTCTCTCTCTCTCTCTCTCTCTCTCTCATTCCGAGCTCTTTGTCTGTGGTTGAAGGGAGGCCTCCCGTTAGAGGGGTTCCGTGACAGCCACTTTCCTGCGGCTTACGGGGGACCCCGGTAACGGGGGGCAGAGATAGCGTCTGCTGGTGTGAAATGTGCACCGTGTGTGGGGAAAGTGTATGTGTTTGTGTGTGTGTGTGAGAGTGAGAGAAGGATCACACGGGAGGGGTTGGGGGGGTGACTGAGGGTATGATGGAGTCTTCCCAGAGCAGGGAGGTCCAGAGATGGGACAAAGCTATCAGTGGGAAGGGGAAGAGGGGGGGGGGGGGATGTTTGTGTTTCTGTGTGTTACTGTGTGTGTGTGTGTGTGTGTGTGTGTGTGTGTGTGTGTGGCTGTGAGGGTGGCAAAAAGGGTGGTGGTGGTGCAGGTAGGGGGGTGACAGAAACAGCAGTGCAAAATGAAAGTATCAGACTGCTTCCAGGTCTGGCTGCATCAATGGGGCCGGTGTGTCAGACTGCTTTCATGTCCCGCTAGGACGAGCTCTGTCTAAAGGGGATCGCTCTGACCGCGACGCTCAGGGTAACACTTGTTTTCGAGTTTCGCAGTCAACTATTACTGTTCCATCTTTTCGATGCCCAACACCCAAATCCTCATTGCACCTTTTTGACCTCATGTACAGTAGGCGTAGTTAAGTTCCTCATCTGGTTTGCCTTTTTGTGTACGGTTTTCCTCACGTTTTTAGGAATTTTTCTGGCATGTGCAAAGCCCTGATCCAGTCGTCATTTCAAAGTCGACTTCCACGGGCCTGCAAACGAAAAAAGCCTTATTGGAACTGACCACAATGCAGGTCAGACCCCGTGGTTTACCCCCATTAGTGGCATTGGCCCTTCTCTGAGCCGAGGTGCAAGAGGGGGGGGGGGGTTGGTATTCATATTCAGTGAACTGCAAACAGGTGCGCGTACCAGAAAGGAGCGCGAGATTCGGTGAATTGCGAACAGGGTGAGTGATGGTTTCAATAATTTTAATATTTTGTGGTATATTTAAGTGAAGTTCCCCAGGAGCTTTGTTGACATAGACTTAGCTAACGTTAGCGTTGATGAATGGAGTCATTTAACACAGCAGGAGAGAACGCAACGTTGGACAGCTAGCTAAAGCTCTGGTGGAAAGTTATTAGCTAACGCTGCTGTTTTTGAGGAGGTAGATTTTGAGGTGAGGGGTCCACCGTTCTATCAATAACGCATTTTGACTTCAAAGTACGCTGGTACGATTTGTCCCTCCTAAACTACGCAAGAATTTGTCTAAAATTAAATTTAGACTAGTTGACCAGCACACATTATATGCAATGCAATATAATGCATGACGAGTATTTAATGACTTGTCCCCTATTAGTTGTTGTCAATTCCTATTCCCCCCCCTCGTCGGTACGCAAAAAATGATCCCTGGGACAAAACCAGTTGAAAACCCCTGCCCTAGGGGGGTAATATCCTTCTCACCTTTTTCACCATTGACCCGTTTTCATGCCTGTGAAATGATAGTCATTCTTACATGTTTTCAGTCATTTCTCCGCAACGTTATCGTCAATCAAACATTCATGATGGAGTCATCTCTGCTTGGCACGCAATTGAAAAAGGCTGTGGTGAGCTTTGGCCAGAGAAGCAGTTTTTGTGTGTCTGCAGTGCCAGCTTGTTTGCAAGCCAGCTTGTTTCTCCGGTGCCAGCTTGCAGAGCTTCGGCGGGCCGAGTGCTCGGAGTGCATGTTGAAAGCTCCCAGAGGGCGACGCTGTGAATGTATGAATGGGATGCCTACCGGTCTTTTCTCAATGATACAGATTAGTGCCACACTGTGCTGTAAACGCCAAGTTGGTCCTGGAAAAGCAAAGACGTCCAATCAGCTGGTGAAATCTGACCAGGTTTGGTCGAATCGTGTGGATTTCATTTACATCATTCTAATGTCCTTTGCAGTGGTCGTATCGGCCCTCGCATTAATTGAACTTATAATTTAACAGGTCTGTTAGACGGTAGGTGAAGCTTTCCCTGAAAGACCGCGAAGGTGCCGCGGGGGGGAGGAAAGGAATCTCAGACATCTTCCCCGAGTTGTTTTTCTGAAGAGGTCAGAGGGGAGGAGCGGTTTGTGTTCTGCGTGGCACGTCCAGGCACCTGCGGAATGCTAGCGACCATTTAGCATAAATATTCACGGCAGTCAACTGTTGTTTGACAGTTTTGTAAACACCTCGCTGGGAGTGTGTAAGCATCCGATGAAAGTCCCGTCTTCTTTCTGGCGGTGTGTGTGGGGGGGCGCTCGTGCAAATCCTACTCGAGCTCCATTCCCGCGGTTCACTGTGACGACGTTTAGTTGTCACGAAGTGAGCGGCTAGTTCTGCTCACCTGTTAAACCAGAGATCACAATCTAGTTCTAGTGAGATTCCTCCTTGCCCCAGAAGCATCTTCCCGACCTGACCGCCGCAGAACAAAACAAGATACAGGGTTGGACCCGTTGTACAATAAGTGGTCGCTTCATTCAAATTCAACCCCCGCTGGATCCACGAGGCAAGGCATCACCCTGTGTCAAAAAAGAGAGTGAGGAGGGCTGAGGGAGAGAAGCAAGCAAGCAAGCAAACACAAGAAGAGTCTGAGAGTGGCAAACATGGAGGATTTGTGACTGAAAGGAGAGAGGGAAAGAGAGACAGCTGAGTTGAGGGTGATTATCAGAGGGAACCTGTGGCCTGGTTTGACTGACACTAGATGGCAACGTTTGGCTGTACAGTCTCTCGCTGGCCTCCCCTCATCTCCTGTCTGTTATTGACTTCTTGTTGCTTAACAATAGACCCTCTAGGGTTTTGTGTAATGTGTGTACTTGTGTGTGACTGTCTATCTGGCTGAGGGTTGGCGGTGGGGGTGGAGAGGGGTCCCGGATAGTGGTAGAACCCCCCAGGATCTCCCCCTCATTCTCCTGTTCATGTTCTGCACTCTATCTGTGTTTGTATTAGTTTTCAACTACATGGATCTTGGTGCCCCCCCCCCCCCCTCTTCCTCCTTTGCACCAGCTTTCCTCACAGCATTGTCTATCTCGTCTGCCGCTCTGCTTCCTTCCCCTTCCCTCTGCTGCCTCACCCTTGCTTATCACGCCAATTAACATTTTTAACTTCTGCCACAATTCCCCCATGGCTTGTTGTTCTCCTCTGTGTCTGTCTCTCTTGTACAAGGAGCTCCACAGTTAATTATGTGCAAAATCTATCTTTTGTTTTCAAAAAAACAAGCGTCGTATTCTTTTTTAAAATTTTTTTATCAAAGTACAAGCCGCTCTTCGGCGGAAGGACATTGTGATGCTCGCACAGCGCAGTGCAGAGAAAAATCATTGAATTGACAAATGTACCTAACCTCAGGTCTGGCAAAATT